AATTAAAAACACTACATTAAAATATAATCTGAATGATTCTTCACATCATAATCTGTATTTGATATTTTAGGCACTTTTACTTTTAGGGTTGATTTTTGGTTCTCTTGTTGTGGGTGCTGCAGATATAAAGAAGGGCACGGTATTCAGCATTGGAAGGATACTCAGCATTGCTATTCCCTTGATTTAAGAACACAGCAAATATGGGATTACGTTGGTGACCGATATGCTCAGCGCCTGAACCAGTCAAAGGTTGATGGCAAAGCAGTTGAGATGAACTCTCACTGTATGTCACATGAAGGAGATTGTCACACTTGTGAATGTGGTGAGGATTCTGGAATTAGTGGGGCCATTTACAGCAGCAAAGTTGAAGCAGTATGTTTCCTTTCTTTTTGATAGTTATGCTGTTGAATAATGGGTATGTTCATTTAGCAATACAAAAATCATGGAATGATATTCACATTTAAAGTTGAAACAACAAAAATCTATTTTTTACCATCAAATTTGGGTCTCTAGCACATGTTAGGACTTAGTGTAACAAACTTTATGACTAACGTTGCTTTGTTTCTCATTTTTGAGTTTGGAATGTTTTTGCATTAGATTTTGTCACCAGAATTCCCACGTGCATTTTCTGACTGACATTTGTACATAACAACAGATTGTCGATGAGTACAATCACCTTCTTGCTACTCAGCTAGAGGCTCAAAGACAGGTTAGAGAACCTTTCTTTGTACGTTCTTTTCTTTATTCCTTTTTACAGGCTACTTTGCTCAAGGTAAGTCAGAACCAACTCTTAGATTAAATTGAACAGACTAAAGCAAGTATGGCTGATATTCCAAAGTCCAAACCTCAAGAAGCTAAAGGAGTTTCTTTTTAGCTTCTCATATTGAAGGATTTATGTTATCAGCTATCAATTACTGGTTTGGGTTATATGAATTTTTTTCCTGCTCTTGTATTTTTTTCCTTTTTTGTTATTTATTTATCTAAACTACATATGCAATTTGTGAAAATAAGTCAGGTTTATTCTTGTCCTTCTAGATATCATGAACTATGAGGTTCTGAATAGTGTAATTACAGCTAGTATACAATGATTTGAACCACTTAGGTGATCCATATTTTTTCCAGTATTGAGTTTGGCACCACCCCAAAGGCAGTGAATCTTTATTGCATCATTAGATTTGGACTTATTTCTCTCTCCTTGTTCATTTGCTGCTGTTTTGATTTTCACTTAAAGGATTTGCATTCGTATGTTTTTTGTTGTCGTTAATTTTTCTTTTCCTCCAGTATTATGAATCCCTACTTGTGGAGGCCAAAAGCAGAAAGGATAGTTCTATTTCTGAAGCAGTGGAGAAGGCTGTGACCTCTGGGATGCAGGAGATCCAAAGTAAACTGGAAAAGTTCACAGAGGAGAAAGATGCTGTTGCAGAGGTAAATTTAGTATACTCCTATCTTTTTTTGGCTAGAATTATTTTATGAAAGGATTTACATACCATATATACATGCTTTCTCAACACGATCGTGATTTGCATGATTTCTTACCCTAACTGTTTTTGCTTTTCTTTTCCCCTGTAGATCAATCGAAATCTCATCAAAAACCAAGATATTTGGCGCAAAAAGATGAAAGAATTTGAAGAGAGGTATGTTTCTTTCCCTGAATTTATGGGCATGATTGTAGCCTTCACCAAATAGCATAGTTCTGAACCAAAGTTGCAGCAATTTAACTTTGTTATGATCAGGATAATAGCAAGCCTGTATTTAATGTTAGATTGCAAAAACTCTATTTCTACCTCCACCTTGTTTTCTTATAGAAAAGCAAACCGTGAATGATAATGTCAGTGCGACTGCACTTGCTTTCACTTTATATGACAAGATTTTTTCCTTTAATGAGTGGGCTTTGACATAGAAATATTAGCATTCAATTTCAGTATCTGTGCTTTTAAAGAAAGCAACTTGCCTAAAATATACAGACCAATGGCACTAAAATCTCACCGAAGCTCCTATTTTGGTTTTATTCTTAGGGAAATTTCTCAATTGAAGTTTAAGGATGAAAAGATACATGATCTAGAAGAGCAGGTAATAACAAACCTAAAACTTACATGACATAAGCTGCTGGATTGACATTACTTGTTTGCATGACATTTAAATATCAATTGCAGATAAGAGATCTCACTGTTTACATTGAAGCCCAGAAGAAACTCGGAGACATGACAGATTCAGATGGCATTAGGGGAGGAACAATCTTACCTGTTCCTGCCACGCAACAGTCGTCAGCTAACAACAGGAAGCAGAAGAAGTTGGGTCGAAGACGCAATTAGCTGACAAGTGAGCAATGCTGGCGAGAAAAATAGATATATGGCTATTGGCAATGATGACATGCATGCAAAGCAGTCACATATAAGTAATTACATTTGGTGTCAAGATAGCATAAATCGTGTAGTGCACCTGATTTAATATAAATATTACATTTAGTGTCAAAAAAAAAAAAAAAGATCTGGAAATATCCATATTTGAGTCCCATGTAGTTCAGCCACGGAAGTGATGGTTACAGGGGCAACCACAGGGCATGGTTATTGCCACTCGACCTTTTGTTAAGGTTACTCAAAAAGCATAATATTTTTTTTTTCGTACACAAAAAGCTAATCTGAGCTAAGTCGTAAGGAACAATGGTCCTATGCTCTCTCCATGGAGAATGCTCCCAGTAGCTGCTGGTGGATTCGGAAAAAAGGTAGTGCCTAGAGTAAGATTCTAGCCAATAGAGGTCATAAACTCTGCTGCCTAGTTTCCTTCCCGGGAAGTAAGCTGAATTGTACAAACCGTGAAGCAGTTTAACAAATGGAAAATGTCCAACAATAGCACTGAAGCTAGGCCATCCCCAGTTTTCCTCCCCTGTATCATCTGCACTGTTAAAAGAGAGTTCATTTCAAGGACCAGCATGACAACCCCAAAGTTCTGCCATGTAATTAGATTGTGACCCAATTTTAATGTTAAAACCATGTAGCCACTGCCCCCCATGATCACGGATGAGCCCACCAGCACTAGCTCTTCTGCGGAATGATTCATCACACCCTCTCTACTCAATTTGAGAAAAGGAAAATCAGGTGGGAACATCTTACCCATTTGGGTAAACGAGTATGTATAATAATTGTTTTGGATAAAAAACATAATAATTGTATTTGTTTTCACGTTAAAGCCATCTAAAAAGCATAATAATTATATTTGTTGTAATTAATTTTATTAATTTATAGTTCATGGATAGTTATGTTATTTAAAAATAATAATTTATAAATTACTTTTAATATATTAAATAATAATTAATAATTAATAATTATAATTATGAATTATTTTTAACGGTAACTTCATCAAAAGGTCAGGTAATCATAACCGTTCCAGAGCGACCATGGCTGCCTCGGGACCAAACTTCATCGAATAGCGAGCCATGAGTCCCATTCTGGACCTGGGCTCGTTGTTCGGAGAGCCACATGCCACAGTGATGTTGATGCAATGTGACTGGTAGGGGGAGGAAAGAGAAGAAGAAAGAGAAGAAAAAAAATGAGGAAGCAATTTTTTTCTGTAAATTTGAAAAGAGGAAGAGGAAAAGGATCATTGAAGGGGAAGAGGAAGGGAGATGATGGCAATTTTTTGTAAATTGATTTAGATTAAAGGCTAATTTTGGAAAACAAATGATTTTGATTGCCACACAAGCTTAAGCTTAGCGGATTGTTGATGTTTATATTGATATATGTATGAATTTTGTTATTAAAATGATATATATTAAATATAAAAAAATATTAAATATTATTTTAAATTTATTGTTATAAATATGTTATTATATAAATTAAATAAGTATATAATTTTTATATTTATTTAATGTCAATAAAATAAAGAAAATAAAATTTGAAGATATAAAAAAAAAGGCATAAAATAATAAGTTGCGATATCTTCGTAAAAATACACTCATTCCCAATCAAATTGGTAAAAACACAACCTTAAAAAACCTAGTTTTTCTTTCTGCTGCAGCCGTCCAAGAAAAAATCAATAAAAAAAGCATCATTGCTTTCTTCGTGGCTTTTCATCATTGAGTCCAAGACCTGGATTGAAGGGCCAAGACACTGGCGAACCCTCTAGGGTTGTGTCCTCATCCATCCCTTCATGTTGTTCCTTTTTCGACACATTGGTTCTATCATATTGGTTTTTTTTTTTGTTTCACATCATTTTGATGCAAACTAAGAATTCATCGGATCAAATCTCGTAGAAAACTTAATTTTTTTGCACTTCGTTCTTAACAGGCCTCAATCCTTAGCTATTTGCATTATTTTTTTATTTTTCTTACGTGAAAACGGCTGAAAAGTTGTGCCGGCCGAACAGTTTAATACCGGCTGGTACACCTAGTATCATCCGGTACAGTACTTTTCGGCTGGTACACCCGGTATTGGTTCTAATACGATATTGGAGGTATAATGTACCAGGTGAAAATTGGTATGTACCACTGTACTAGTTGATACGGTATGAGATTGTACTGGTTGATCTAATATGAAATTGATAATTTATATTGATTTTACATGTTAATTAATAGGTTGTTTATTTAATTTAATAAGTTAAAGTAATAATTTATTCTCTCTTTTTCTTTTTCTTTTTTTTTTTTGTTTTTTTCGTTTTTGTCAGAAGTTGAATTTGTTTCTACTTCTATAATTGAGGTGTAGATTTGGGCATTCTGCTTCAATTAAATGTTGAAGTGCTGCTATTTGTAGCTTTAACTGGTTTGGATAGACATCAAAAGCAACCCAGTTTGTTAACCTAAGTCAACTCTCCATTTAAAATGCAACATAGAACATGGATAACAGGATAAGTATTCTTATTTGATCCCATCTCTAACTTGCGATTTTCATTTTTTATTTTTTGAAAATTGGCAATTCATCCATTCCATAAAATATCATGTAAGTATAGGTATGAGATCAACCATCTTGGATATATTATGAATATATTTTCAAGAGGATTGGTTGTCTTTTTGAATCAAATCCAAATTTAAATCATACTATAATCAAAATACGACTTATGTTAAAATCTTTCTAATTATACGATAAATATAATAAAATTGCACTTATCTAATCTCTACTTTCAAGATGTCTATTATGATAGCCACATTCGATTTGATTATCTTTTTAAGAAGGCCATGTAGATGCCTCATTAAGATTTATAAATACCTCATGGTCATTTGTTACAAGTAACTGAAACTAACCTAGAGTTTTTCTTTTATTCTTTTTTTAAATAGACTAAATTATTATTAATTTAAGTATCAAAGTGTCTACCTTAAAAACCAAATTTTGAATTTAAAGTGACTCAAAAATTCGTTGCAACTGCATATCATACATAGGAAATACAAAAATTTGAATAAAAAGCTAAATCAGCACGTATCCTATACCATGAGGGACAACAAAGGAGGATTATATGCCCAATAAAAAGGGCAAACTTCCACGCAATGTATACCTCGCAACCCAGTCCGCTACTTTGTTAGCCCTTGGAGGAATGAGACATACAGAAAAGTGAGGGGAATATAGCAGTTTCCATTTAACTTTTTCAACAATAGTTCTGATCTCCTACGGGATAGATGGATTTCCTCCTGTAAAAGACTCAACTACAACATATGAGTACGAATGAAACTGAGCTTGTTTAATGGCTGTTATTATTGCTCAAGCTTCTTCCACATGAGGGGATAAAGTAGGCTGTATATATGATGCATCAAATAGAACTTTCCCTTCCACATTAAGACCTATTACAGGCACTCTAGCTAGGGATCTCATGGAATTAAAAGCTGCATCACAATTAATAGCCCAAATATTGACTGAGGTACCAGAACCAATATTTCCAGTGAAGGCCCTTTTAAAGAATATCTCTTCCTTGCAAAATACTGGACCACGCCCATGACGGTGAATTTCGCTTCTCAGCAGATGGAAAATCTCCTGAAGGAAAACAAAGTACCTTAAGCACCTTCAACCACAAGGCATCCGGATACTGCATGATACGCCAAGCTTGTCTTGCTAATCAAGCTAGATTAAAACACTCCAAATCCTTAAGGCCAAACCCTAAATTAGATTCATTAATAAGTAAGTGTCATCTTATAAATTAAATATCAAATTAAAGTCTTGAACAAGCACTCAAAAAAATTAATTTATTTGAATACACTAAAAGCATGTAAAAAAATATACTTTTAAAATTATCTGTTATCATATTAATTTTAAAGTGTGTATAGCTGATTCAAGACACCTTTACCATAAATAAAAAAAAAAAAATAAATTCCTTGAAGCCAAGTCCCTTATGAAATTCACTAACCATCATCTTTGTCCAACTAACCCAATTATTAGAACTTGTAACATAACATACTAGTATTCATTACTTATTTTCAAAAAAAAAAAAAAAATACTAGTAATTTGTTCTGTCTAGAAGTTAGGGTTTTCCCAGTTTACGGCCTCTCTGTAAGTCCAGAAAAATTCCTCTTCCTAATTAAGTGATGGCAGCACTTCAGATGCAAAAGGTTGGCCGAAGCGCTGGAGTGCATCGACAAACTCGATGAACTACTGCAGGATACCGCGGATAACGTGGCGTTGTTCAGAGCAATTACGGTTGAATTAAAGGAGAAATTAAAAGCTTGGATTACTGAGTTTGAAAGGCAATTAACTATTCCGGTGTATCAGTTGAACCCAGCGGCGTCAACTACCTCCGTCGCCGTCGACAAGGATGCTCTGTCAGGGGTTAAGCTAAATGGGATCAACAACTCCAAAGAACAACTGTTGCAGGATTTGGTAAAAAATCACATTTCAACAGACGGCGTGCGAACCCAGATTCAACAAAATATCAAATCGACAGTTCCGAGCACTTACATAATGCAGAGCAATCCTTTTCAAAGACCAACAGGTACATCAGTCAAACCACCAATATTATCACAGCCAAAAACGGAATCAGCCCCTAATCATTTTCATGAAGCTCTCATTGATACTGGAGCATGTGGACTAGATGAAAAAACTGTGACTTACTCGAAAAACCTTCCACTTGCTACGAACCTGCAAAACAGAAGTTCTTCCTATGGTCTTATTGGTATCTTTTGGGATATGGAATGCTGTGCTGTCCCAAGTAACGTTGGTGAATGTGTAGCTGTCAATGTAAAAGAGGCTTTGAGAAAGCATCCTGAGATTAATGGGGCTGTTAGCTTGTTTAATGGCTATGGCGATACTAATTGCTGTCCCAGGCATATAAGACTCGCTTGCCATCACACTGGTGTTACTCTCATTGTTGTTCCAAACGGAAGGAAGGAAGCTGTTTACAAGACAATCTTAAGGGACATGTTCACGTTTGCCTGTAACCATGTTAAATCTTACATAGTGCTGATTTCAGGCAATGGAGATTTTACTCGAGCTCTTCACATACTTGGTCAGCTTGGGCATACGGTCATTCTTGCTGTTCCTTCTGGTGTGGGTGTTTCTTCTCATTGCGATACTAGCAAGTATGTTTGTGATTGGCCTAATCTGGCTCATGGCAAGGCTTTGTTTCACCCTCAGAAGCTTTAATGCCTACTTATATGGAGGACTAACATCCTATGTTAATGGCAATCTTAATGATGAGGAAGATATATGCTCGGTATATTATGAATAAAATGTAGGCCTTCTCTTAATAGGTCATGTTTTTATTTAGTTCCAACTTCTTATTTGGTTCTTGATATTCATAAAATTTCAATTAGGAAACAAGTTAAAATGATGAAATTTATTTATTTATTTTTAATTATCATTCATCTTAATAACAAATTTTAAATTCAAATTATATAACATATAAATGAGATAAGATAAGAGATAAAAAAAGTTGTCTTTCATTGTGAATTTTAAAAAAAAAAATTAAAACTTGCTACTCTATTTGACCTAAGTTATCTAATCATAATCTGCAATAATCCAATTCCAACCCACCAATTTGACAGGGCTATACTTTGGAGGAGGTAATGGTCTTTAACAGTTTAACCAATTTAATTACGTACCTAAATATTTCGATTAACCATGCTACACGCTTACACCGACGCCCACCGGCACCTAATTGCTGGCTTCGGTGGTAGCTGCACAGCACGTTCTTAGTGTCATATAAATTGTATTTTTATATTTTGTTAAATTAGATTTTTATTTGTTTAACTTTATACAATATTTTAAATAATTGAATAAAAAATAATATTAATAATTTATTATATGATTTATAAAAAAATATAATTTATTATATGATTATAATTATGAATCGTTATAATATATTTGAGTAAAAAAAAAATAAAATAGAAGGAAGGAGAAAAATATATTTTAGATAATTTTCAAGAAAATTAAAAGAGATGATCGAAAAAGAAAAATTTTCATTTACTTTATTTTTTAATTTAATTATTTATTCAAATAAAGATAAACGATGGAAGAAAAAAACTTTTTTTCCTTTACTTCTTTCTATTTTCCCACCGTCCAGTCTCCTCAACTTAAAGATAGCGTTAAGCTACTTTGAATTTTTCCTAGCGCATGGTTACAAGTAGGAAAGTTGCAATTATAAAAGTAAACCAAAAAATAAAAGTTACAGACTTACAGCTATAAAAAATATAGGGAACATTGTGTACCAAAATATATATATATATAGGGAACATTGTTCCCAATGTCTCAAAAAGCATCCCCTTAGAGAATATTCTATTTACTTTGTCAACAGAAAAAGTGTAGACAGTCTTGGTAAAAACACTTTTTTGATATTGCAATGGATTGCAAATTTTCGAGTTAGAATTGTAGAAAAGTAGAAATATTTATGAAAATATTTGTATATTATTAATAAATTAATATATAAATAGTTTATTAATGATCTTTAAGTATAATTTTATAAAAAAAATTTCTTACAATTTGACTAAAAAAATATTTTTATGATACTGCAATTTGTACAAAATAACCAT